CTATTGATGGTAAGAACACAGGTTTTTGGCTTTACATGATTTTAGGGATAAATATCATTATGGGTAATTGGGTATAGTGAAGTGCATCTCTTAGATTTAGTTAACAACCCTTTTCTTATGTAGGTTGTTATGTCCATGCTCTACTCAACTTTTTGTATCTTCACCTGGCAGCCTCTTGCCAACTGTTTTCTAAGGATACGGACACAGATAAGTTCTGTAGCTTGTTGGTATTTCCATGTATCAGCATGTTTACCAATAGGGGATAGGGACATTGTGCAGTGAGTTAAGAGCTTATGACTGTGTATGAGTGATTAATGGGAGGATTCCTGCTTTTGCATAAATTATGTTTTGTTTCTGAGGAGAAAGCATTGTAGAAAACAGAACATTCTATTTCCTGTTAGTTTTTTTTACTTTAGGGAGCCTTAAGATGACCTGATTTAAACTTCGATTTCATTCATAATAATAGGATTTTTATAGACCTTCTCCTTTTCTTGTCTGGTTTGTGTTTGATTATACACAATCTGTAGTTTTCTTCCACATTGAAATTGTTATGAACATGGTCTTGCTTGCTTTATCTTATGCAGTGGTCTGAAAAGAGGAGGTTTGACTTGGCCGGATTTATGTCATCCATGTTAAGAGCTCATTTACATACATATGATCCAATTTTCTTGATGTCTCTGAGATATTTGATAAGGTTGTCTATCATTCCTTTTTTCATTTTGTAGTAATCAAGCTATGCTGTTTTTTATGTTATGCAATTATATTTTTCTTTCTTTTGCCACATTTGATATTCTATTTTTCTTTTGGATTTTCTGTATCCTCACAGCATACACAGGGTGTATTGTTTACGTCAAGGTATTACTTCACCCATATCCGATTTGACTGAAAGATTGCTCCTTGAGGAGCGAGACCCTCCTGCAACACCACAGGACACTTTATATGAAGTACCACCATTTGATGAGGTGAGATATCTATATTGTATTATTCTTGAATTTCACAAGGAAGTCGTCAAGTGTAACTTAATAGCGAATTTTATCATTTTATGAAAAGCACATTGATGGATCTGCTCCCACATGTTTGTCTAATGATACATATTGCACCTACTTTTGTTTTTATGCATGCATCATTTGTAACCTGAAACTGTGTTTGATTTTGGAAACCAGGTTGACATACAGGCTCTTGCACATGCTGTAGAGCTTACTAGACAAGGAGCAATTGATAGCTTGAGATTTTCTAAGGGTGATCTGATCATGGCATTTCAGGTTAGATATAGTTTTACCGGTTCATCTGCTCTTGGCTTTATTTTAAACATAAACCTGTGACTGTTTTTTGTTTTTCCTGCTAAATTACTTGTTGAGTTTTTTCCTGTTTTATTCTTTTTTACAAAGTGTGATTACTTTTTTTGGTTGAACAAAAATACTATATAAAATGTCGGTTTCTAACCTATCATCTATTAGTTCTGCTCTGAAGTTCCAGTGATCCTTTCTTTATGTTAATAAATTGCGCACCATTTACCTAGGGGGAAAACCACCATAATATTGACATGTTCTGGAAAAAACTCTGTTTGCAACAAAAAAAACATTTTTTCCACATTTCATCTGCACCTAAGGATAAATATTTAGATCTCATGAACAATATTCCCTTAATTTCTTCATCCGGCTATCAACATAAGAAGAACCTCTCATCAATCATCCCCATGTCTGGGATAAGGGCTGAGTGAATTGTACAAAGTATGGGGATAACTTTAAGGGTGCATTTGATGCACACTGAGGAAGAGGACATGCAGAACAACACAACCTTTTGTTTTGCCTGATGTTTGGTGGTGGATGCACAGCTCAAGCAGAAGAATGCAAAATACACTATAAGATCCTTTAGATAAAGTGGTTGTGGTGGTCGAGGCACTTGTGCTGGCAGTGTCAATGGAGGTGATAGTGGCAGTAGTGACCATGGTGCTGGAGGTGGCAGAGGCATATGTGGCAATGGAGGTGGTGGCGGCAGCGATGGTGTTTGTGAGGAAGAGCAGGAAATAAGGAAAAGTGATGTGTTTTTGGTCTTTTAATCTATTTATATTTTAGTGCTATGGACAATGTTTTGATCTATAGTTTAGCGTGGGGATCAATAAAGTGAGTTTTATGCTATCCACTTTAGAAATCTAAGAAGGGACAGATATTTTTGTGCTCTTTTGCCCCTTGTTTTTTAGCAAATCAAATGCACCCTAATATTTCGATAATAATCTTTGGCTGCATTGGTGATTTGTTTCATTTTTAAATCAATCCTGCTTCATGTCTTTATTGTTATTTTCTTTTTCTTTTTCTTGCAGAATGAATTATGTCGGATGAGATTGGATATTCCGCTTCTTGATCAACTTGTTTGTGAGTATTGTGTTTACAGAGGCATTGTTGACCCTGGTATAGCATCTTTTCTGTTGAGTCATATTCTAAGTTACTGTATATCTTCATATCTTATTTTCACTGTCTGTTGTCAATTTATGATCAACATAGCATTTGGGAAGCAACCTATTTCAGAACCTGTAAAATTCAATCAACATGACTTTGGTTATTGCTCATCAAGGGATTGTTCCCTTGAGTTACATTGTAATGCTGGCAAGCATTCTGATGGTGAAACCTCATTTACCAATGTTGACACGGATTGTTCCCCTGAACATAATGCTGATTTGACTAGCATGCGAGGAATAGACGTTGAAATACGATACGCATCTGAAACCACAAGTAGTCATGAAGACTGTAGCACCAGTGTATCACAACAGCTTGGAAATCCAAGTGTTTTGCAGCGACGTAGATTGCTGGGCACTGGAGAAAGGAGCAAACGCAAGCGTTGGAGAGGGCGTTATGATGACAGTAGTTACTTGGCTAATGCTTCTCTGGAAGATAATAACAAGCAAGAGCATAGCATAAGTACCATTGTTTCAACATTATCAAAGGAGAAACAGGTATCTGTTTGAAAATGTTGATGTTATTATGTCTGATAGATAAATTATTGACAGTATTTATTTGCAGGGATCTGAAAAGACTTTTGCACTTGATGTCAGTAATGTGGATGATAAATTTGAGATTCTTTTGGGAATGAAGGAATTAGCTAGCAAAGGATTAGCCGCAGAAGCGGTTGAAGAAGTCAATGCTGTAGTTCCCAATTTTTTTGTGCAGAGCTCTGTTTTGCTTTTCCAACTAAAGCAGGTTTGTGACTTCATTCAATGTTGTTATTGATATCCTTTTCTTTATTTATTTATTTATTTATTTTATGGGAGTGAGCCAGCGGTTGTTATTGGGATCTTCTTAATTGCATCAAGAATGTGATCTTTAAATGGGATTCCTGGCTATAGGTTGAATTCTTCAAGTTGGTCAGCTGTGGTGATTATGATGCTGCTCTAAGGGTTGCTTGCTCCCATTTGGGTCCTTTAGCAGCTAACAATCCTGCTTTGTTGAAGCCTTTGAAGGAAACCCTGTTGGCTTTGCTCCGACCTAATGAAGATGCTCTTAGAACTGCCTTACCTCTAAATGCTCTAGCTGCTTCCCTCCAGGTGTTTTGCTAATCTAATGTGTTTATATCATTTTAATCAATTGGGTTTTCTCACTCATGCTAAATAAGAGTATAATTGATAAAGAAATAATTAATATTGTCATGAACTTTGAGAACGACAGTTAATATGGACAACTTTTTTTTAGAAAAAAACGACAATTATAAAGGAACAGAGGGAGTATATATGAGTAATTGAGTAGGACTGCTAGAAAAAGTTTGGAAGGGATTACTTATTACTTAAAGGTTTTGATGGGTCCTGATGATACATATTGTGAACTTATAAACCTTTTGGAAACCAACATAGTATTGATAGGTTAGTAATCTTAATTCTTAAATAATAACGACTTCCAAGTAATTCTGAATTGTGTGATCCAAAGGCTTCTTTTCTTGTACCTTTATGGTATGCTATTTCCTGTCTTGTGACAGTATCCCATCATCTCATATTCTGTATGAAAGCTTTCCTATAACTAAGGTGCAAGACTTTGTTTTATTATTTTCTAATTACTTAAATACAATGTAGATTTTTATATCTCCCTTATGCTATTTTTAAACATGGAGTGCCTGTTTCTTATTGGATAGGTTGCTGTTGGTAGGAGGCTTGGTGTTGAAGAACCACAACTCATGAAAATAATGCGAGCCACTCTTTATACACATAATGAGTGGTTTAAACTTCAAATGTGCAAAGATCGTTTTGAAGGTCTTTTGAAGATTGATTCTTTGAAGGAAGTTAATACTCCCTTTATTGCTTCAGTATCAATGTCCAAGTCACATGGTGATAGCTGCACAAATGGATCTTCTCAGACTACAGTATCTTCAGTCACCAGAATGTCAGAAGATGGTAGCAGTCCAACCCAAGAGTCCTCAAGGGATGTCATATGTGACGAAGGTGCAATACTCAAAGTAATGGTAAGTTATGGATTCTTGGCATTAACTATTTTTTCCTATAGCAAAATAAAATAAAATAAAACTCAAGTTCTGTGTCATCACTGTCATGATGCAGTCTCTAGTGGATTTTGATATCTCCCAATCAAATATAGTTGTAAATTAATGGGTAAGATGTTATAGTTTTAAATAGTTATAATTTTATGTAAATTTGCAATTCTCAAAGCAATACATTGGGTTCCCTTTAGCAACACAGCTAATGCGTGTACACATTAATGATAGAAGTTTATATAGGTAGTGCAACTTAATCTTCACTAGTTGTACCATTGTCTCAATGGTTTCTTGACAGTTTTTTTTCTTTTTTTTTTCCTGTTAGCTCTGGCATCAAATATTATTTATTCTTTATTGGGTAGATAAAAGCATCATAGATATGCAGGATTTCTAACTGCATGCTTAAGCAAACCAACCCACCCGCCCCCACTGCGGTGATCTTGTATTTGTTTGAGTCTGCTGGTGTTATTGTAAGTTAAGTTTTTTAGGGTAGGCAAACATTTTTTATATTTTTAAGTGTAGAGGTGAGATCATACTACTAATGCACCGGATTCCATCAAAACTCTGCAGTTAAGCGTGCTTGGGAGAGAGTAATATTAGGATGGGTGACCTCCTGGGAAGTTTTTGTGTTGGACATCTTTTAAAGCCGACCTAACCTAGTGGGATAACAGATTAGTTGTTGCATTTTTAAGCGTAGAGAGTGGACTTTGGAGACTCTGAATCAAGACATTCACACTTTATGTCCCACAGCTTAACCAATCCAGTTGACTAGTGAACTTACAAGTTAACTTGGGTGGATAATTTCTATACTCATGCGGAGCATTGTTTTTCCATTTGTGTTCATGTTTTATTATTTATTTGATACACTTGTAGAGAAGAAAAATAACAAAATGCCATAATTCTAGTTTTGGTTAGTTTCCCTCTTTATCTTGATTCATGTTTTGGATTTATGGATAAATGTAGGAGTTTCTGGCTTTACCTCGGGCTGATGCAATCCATCTGCTTGCACAATACAATGGAAATGCTGAGACAGTTATTCAGCAGTTATTTGCTTAGTCTCCGAGTACAAAAGGTCGAATTATTCTTTTTCTATATTATTTTATTCAAAATTAATTTTTTTTACATACGAGTGAAAATGCTGTTTAGTGACCATGAGATTATAGGCTTAAGTCTCGGAAGAGTCTCTCTACTTATGGGGTAAGACATATTTACCCGGTCCAAACCCCAACTAGGTGGGAGCTAAGTACACTAGCCCGCATGTTTTTACATGTACATATGAAAAGATAAAGTTCTCTGTATAGAATTTAGCAATGTATTTGCATTATTATCGTTAATTCGTGTACAAAGTTCGGGTGGCCTAAAAGTGTCCCTTTTATTTATACATTGCTAAAACAGTTTATATTGATCCTTGGTGCAATAGTAGCCTTATTTTCATTATGGTGTGCCATTATTCTGTTTAGTATAACCAGGGATCCTTACTTGTTCAAAATGTTTACCTAGTTATTTTCTTGAACGCGAATCTATCCTTAGATTTGAAAGCTAATCCGATCTTAAATGTCAATCAGGTTGGCTTGTTTTTGAATTCAAACAATCTGATTAAATATAATATATACTTCTCTTACATAAAGTTATGTCAATATAGATATTTTGTTAATTATTTACATTTATATATATATATATGAAATGATATAGAAATGGTGATAGTAAATTATTTGTAAAAAAGTATCCTAAATAACAATAAAATACAAATGAAAAATGATTAAAAATATAAAATTTTACTAATTGATAAGTTGTTACAATAAAATGCATTATTTACTTTAAGGTCCAAAGAAATGTCATTATTCTATTTGTAAATGAAATTGAATAAGCACATACAAACATGAATAATGAGTCATCATGAGAAGGATCAAATCATAAGTCTCGTATCTTATTCTAAATATTGATCAAATCTATTTCTTAAACTTGATCATAGATCCGAGGAAACTCGTTATATTCGAGCTAGAGACAAACAAGTGAGTAAGTAAGGTAGGTACCTACTTACCCTTAAGTACAACAATTCATTTACCCAAGAGCCCAGAATCATGGTGCCATCTCGACCATAATTATGGATTTTCTAACCAGCTCAACTACTAAAGATTTTGGTTTTAATTAATTATAACTTATCTGATAACTTGTAGCTATTTAATTCAATCAATAAGATAGTAGAATTATTCAGTGAATAAAGATTAAAGATTTATTTGTAACTTTCAAAAATGAGTTTGTATATTTTGAGAGGATTATTTTAACTAGTTTGTTAGATCCAAATAATATAAAGCCATGAGTTGAATGCTAATTCCTTATTAATTAATTCATAGTTTGAGTCAGTGTTTCTTTTCTTTTTTTAATTCTAACTGCCTTTGAATAATTCAAATATCAATTTTACCATTTAATTTTTTTGTCATCTATGCCAGATAAATATAGATATTTATTTCGTGTCTAATACAATAAATGTTATAAATTAGTTGTACTATAATAAAGTAATAACTAAGTAAATGATAAATATATTAATTTCGTTTTTTAATCAATTAAAAAATTTATGCTATTAATGTCTTTTTATTACATCATTTATATTTATATATGTGATACTAATTTTCAGACTTCAACTACTAATTGATTAATTGAGTAAGTGGGAACCCATCAAAGAAAGTAAGGGCTCCCTAATCTCTGGAACCAACCCTTTAGAAGATCCTCCATTAATTTCCACCATAGCTGGAGTGAACTATTTCCAATATTTTAAGCTTAATTTAATTGCAACCATGTGACTCTCCCACTATAACTTATTTATATGTTTTCTTTTCATTTTTTTTATTTATTCAATCTTTGCTTATTTGATTACAAAATGACTAGCTCAATGACAAATTATAGTGGTAGGTACTATGAGACCATGCTTCTTTTGACTTTAGTTATGTTTGCCTCTTTCTAAATATTTAAATATTTTTAGATTTTAAATATTAATTCGGGTCCCTTATGTATTTTCGTGAGTGTCAACTTAGCCTTTAATAAAATTAAATTATTATTTAATTCCCCAATTTTTAATCATAACCCAACTTGTGTTTATTAACCTTAACAGAACTATTGACATGTCATGTTAATTGTATCAATTTTATGTATAAGAATTTTGTCAACTCAATGAAATGACGACATTTAAAATTGTTTTTTTTAAATATATTCTTCCATCTTCACCGGTAGTAAAAAAATACTTATTTTATTCTCTCAAAATTTTAGCAAGTATCATATTAATCCCTATTAATAATTTACTTCTTCACCAAACTACTTGTTTTTTTACTTCACCAAACTGCTTGCTTATTTGTGAGTGTAAACATAGTACAGTATTAACATGAGAAAAACCAACTCAAACTATAAACTGTAAGAAAATGAAAAGACATTGATCTAAATCAAAATAAAGTTACAAACAATCAACTATATGAAAAATATATTTAACTATCATCACCCTCATTGAATTGTACTTGTCATATATTTTCTTTAGGGTTCATCTAACCGACAAGAATATAGGAAGTTCCTAATGTTCTCAAGGACTTATCACTCTTTCAGAGACTAAAATAAGTGTTTTTGGGAGCTCAGAGGATGGAAGAAGATAATACAAAACGATGGCATTTTGTGTCTTATTAAAAAATACTTCGAAGTGATGTTATTTCAACAAGATGATAAAATTTTCCAACGTGAAATCACAATGTGTACTGTTAATGTGTCAGCGATTCTATTAATGTTAACAAAAATCAAACTAGTAAAACTATAATATTCTAGATTATGGTTTATAATATTTAATTGCAATTAACACCGTTTTTTTCTTTCCTTTATAAATTTGAAATGCAACCAATCACTATTTTTTTGTATTTTTTAAATGTAAAAAACTGCACGAAATGCCATGTCTATATTTCCTCCATTTTGAAATCTGTAATTCAGCACCATAGGATTATTTATGTTTTTCTTCCTTGATGAAATTTTTTGAGAATTAATATAATGTATCCCTATATATATATATATAGGGAGTGACTCACGTAAGAATAATACACTATTGTGAGAAATGAGAACAATTAATATATAAAGCATAAACTATTGGATCTAGTAAGATTAAAAGGTACACGCACATGATTATCATGCGATTAATAACTAATTGTTAATGCTAACGATTCATAATTGGTCGTAAGATTCAAATTTATTATTCTCATTAATTTTATATGAGAATTGTTCTTACTTGAATCGTCCCCTACAATAATTACTTTACCAATAGTGGAAATATTATTTTTAGTATGAGTGATATTAGATAGGGTTTTGTTAATCTCCATGCAAAGTATGTACATATAATTGAAAGTGGTAGCTAGTAGGTAGTTCAAAGAAAGATTAGTAGCGTTGACATAAATTATTCTCATTACTTCAAAAAGAATGTCAATGATGGGACCACACAAGCACCTGAAATAACAAATACCAAACTCTTGATAAAGTTTTCCTAATACACTTTTTCTTAGGCTTCTCCTTGATCAATATTATTGTTGCTCTATTTATATCCTAGACCAATTAAAATGTGTTATTTAATTTAAAAAAATATAAATATAAATATAAATTAATATTTTTATATTATTTAGTAGTACTCTATTGAATAGAAGTATAGAGACAATGTCGATTTAGAATAGAGGATCCCCATTTCACTTATGAGTTTCTTTTGTCTCATTTTTTTTTCTCCGAAAAGAATATAATAAGGGGTGGGGGAAATCAATAACATTATTATATTCCACCAGAAAATGGTTCACAAATAATATATTTCAAAATTTTAACTATATTTGAATTTTAGAAAAGAAAGGGAATATCTTTAAACATAAATACCCATAATCATTACTCGTATTTTAAATTATGGTAATAATTTTAGTTTATGTCACATGCACTCCAATAGAAGGAAATGAGCCACAATTATGATTATAATATTTTTACTAAGATTCTCGAAATGATACTATTATCCTCACATTATGTTAAGCTTCTAATGTTGTATCTTAGGACTATGGAAAATTATGTGCTTGTAATGTTTGTTTAGCTCTTTATGTATGCACATGGTAAGTGTAGGTATTTTTCAATCTTTCTTAAAAATGAAGAATATATTTATTTTAATGCTAAAGCTATCTTTTATTAATAAAATATTTTTATTTTAAAAAAGTCAAATATTGTACAATAAATATATTTCAACTTTATTTTTTATTTTAATTGAAATTTATTTTGTCCTCATTCATGTCTCACTTTGTGTCTCAACTCAATTAAAAAATTTCATTTAATTAAAAAAAAGTTAAAAAAATAGAAATTAATATCTTAATATTATTTTGTGAAATTTGGTTGGTTAGATATACGAGAATAGAAAAATTCTAGAACAAATGATCATTTTCTTGCTTCAAACTATTACTCATCTTCATTAAACTAACTAGTGTACCATATGGGTTGCTTGAACCTTATTATATGTATGGATTCATCTATGTTATCACCAAAATTTTGGTGATGCCAGGTGAATAGAATTCTCTCAGCCGGAGAGGAAAGATTTTGTTTTACTTTTTATTTTCAGTCACAAAAATGTTATTTAATTG